TATACATATATATATGTATATATATATATATATATATATATCCAATTTTATATATGCTATAGTTTTCTTTTTTAAGTTGGATTCCTAGATCCACTTCTGAATAGATACTATCGAAAGAGTACTGAAAATATGAATTAATAAATTAATTCTGTATAAAAGATAAAAGAGAGATTAGGTTCTGTACAAATTTAACCCGTGTGCGCATTGTAGGGTTAAGATGATTTCTCGTCGTTGTACGAAGTTATGCGTCGTTGTAGATACTGTCGATAATTTTGGACGCGTCGAGTGCAATTTGTTGAATTCGCTTACATGTAACATATATGAAAGCCACAGTGCAGCCGAATTTCCATCTGAGATTACGGGGTTGTTGCACTTTATCGACTTTATTCTGTCGCGCCGTTCTCATCAAGGTGTAACACGAATACAATAATAAATCTTTCGCGTCCACATATTGGATAATAAGAAGTAGGATACTATATATAATTTTGTAATTTTATTTACAATTTTTCCTATAAATTCCGTCTGTGAGAGAATGATTTCAGTCTGTATATCTGGAACCGGAGGGAAAATGAGTTAAACTCGTTATTTAGGCAATAATTAAACATCGTTATTTATTTCGTGACATTGTATTTACCATCCAGAAGCGATTTCTAGGAGATATCTGGCAGACAGAAATCATTCCTTCATAGAACAAAATCCGCATCAAAATAGCAATCCTGCTTCCATTTCCTCATCATGAGATTTTAATGCAGATACCTGAAAGAGCGAATAAACGCGAATATCTACAAAACTTATTTATATTTTTTTTTAAACACGCGTTTTTCTTACACAAGTACCACTTCGTATCATCCTCTCTTTCTCTTCTCTCTCTTTTATATGGGAAAGTTAAAAGAATAAAATTATAACTAATTTATTTGATACACAGTAGTATATTATACGTAATATAAAACAATCATTATTGCAACCATTATGTACAAAGAGCCTTTGTAATTCATATTTAATTTACAAGTGAATAATAAAATCGTGATAATAATCACAATAGAATCTACGTATATCGTTCTGTGTCACAAAATTTTTTTTAATGCTGATTAGACACAAACGCAAGATGCCTTTAATCTGTTGATAGATCCTAAACAGGTAAACATTTAACATTAATAAAGTTGTTTCAATCGAACAGCAATATTATACAATTAAATATAATTATCATAGCATTCATTAATATCATTCTTAAAAACATATATATATATATATATATATATGTTTTATATACACACATACACATACATATATATGTATATATACAATAAATGAAAAACATTAATGAATATGACAATTATTAATTGCTAATGTATGGAATTATAACAACATAATATAATATAACAATATAATATCGAGCAGCCTAAAAAAATATTTCACACTTTTGCATCCAGTATGTTTAATTTTTATAACATTTATACTTTAAAAAAACCTATAAATTTTTAAAGACCGCTCAACATTTATTAAAAATATCACTGTAATGTCACTAAAACATCACTAAAAAAATGTCGTTAAAATATCACTAATATTCATTAAAGTGCGATAAATGGAATGAAGTTGAAGCTACTGATATCGATTTGCTTAAATTTTGAAAAATTGCATCTCCAATGATATTTGACTTTCAGGATTTAAAATAATTACACGAAACTATATCAAATCTCAGCTTTAAATAAAATTATCATGCTTACTGAATGTTTTAGACCGTTTATCATAAAGTATACGAGCTATACTTGACAGCAACTATTTGGTAATTAGAATTACTTTTTATCAAACATGACAAGATAGTATATTTATAATTAATGCCATGATTGTTCGAGTATTCCACGTAGACATTGCATATGTATACAATTACACTAAAATAGATTACATAGATTTATTAAAGGTGAATATTATATTAGCTGCTAGAGAAATGCTTCTCTTGGGAGAAATGCGAATTCAATATATGCACATGGAAATGCATTGATACATACGTAATATCCTAGCATTATTCAACGAAAAAATATTTTTCTCGAATTATATTCACTACATTGATATATTTTATTGCAGTAGTGTGTGCCACCCAATGGATTCAATAACTGCAGATAAAGCAGCTTTACAACTGTTGTAAAATTTTTGTAAAATGTGATTTTGCTTAGTTCTTCACTGTCTATGGCTATATTTCAAAACGTCCTCTTCGAGGAAAGTTTTATTCGATATAATATAGTATACGTTATATATATTATATATTGTGAATAAAATTGTATAAACCAAATATATTAAAAAATTTTACAATAGTTGCAAAACTGCTTTTTCTCTTAAATGCAGCCATTTATACAAAACATTCACACTTTCCAAGAAAAAAATCATAATATGAGCAATAATATATGCTCAATCTTCTGCGACTAGATTACGACTAAATGAGATCTTTTCCTAAATAAAATAGAATGTAAGGAAAGCTGGAAACTTCTAACCGATTTACGAACGGAAATTTATCAGGCTTCTTAACTCTTGTTTCTACATGGACGACTTATGTAATGTGTTGTTAGAGTACAATCAATTAGGCCAGTTCATATATTTTAATATGATAAAGATGCTAAATATATATGAATTATTATTCACTGTTAATGATAAGATTTTGTAGATATGATTTATGAAAAATTAGTATAGGACATTATATATAGAACGTGTAATTTTACTCATGATAGGATGACACCGTGCTATACTGCTTAATATGAAAAATTTGAAGATATTTCATATTATTTTTTTTATCTTTCAATACATATACACACACGCGCGCGCGCGCAAACACACACACACACGTGCCATCTCACAATTATTTTCTTAAGCGTAATTAATAGTTAACTAATGCAGTTGCTATTTTGAAAATAAATGTAGCCAGACGTAGAAAATGTGCAGAATATCCAAATATCTATTGCACAGAATTTTCGTCGATAATTTTGGAGCAATTTGGATTCAATTTTTTCCTAGGAATGTGCAGTAATCACAGCTACTTTTGAGCTGCAAGAAGGAATGTATAGCTATAATTACAAAAATATTTATTGTTGGAAAATTACAACAAAATGAAATATATCAACATATTTTTGTTACAAAACTCGACTACGAATTTATCAAATATACCTGAAATATTGCGCGATAATTCTGGAATTCCTGTCTATATAAGATAAAAACAATAAAAATATAAAAAATCGACATCTTCGTAAACATAATGTGTGCAAAAATGGATTATCTGCAAAATATTCTCATGTTGATCGCTTCATCAACTGTTGTTTCCAACAGTTGATGTTAATTTAATAAACAAGCCATTTTGTAGAAATATTTTTGTTAATATAATTATAACAAACTTACACCGAACCTCTGTGATTGTGCTACAGCGTCATAAAATCATTCATCGAAAGCATATTATGCATTAGTTTGATAATATTAGTGGTCACACACATTTAACAGATATTTAATTTTTACTATATTAACTTCGGTTAAACAAAAAAATACTATTTCAAAAGGTACTACGAAGGCAAAAAAAGTGCAATTTGCTACAAAAAAGAAATAAAGATAAAATTCTAAAATACTCTCCTATCATTACTACTATAGTATATTCCTTCCATGATCGTTGGATAATTTCGGATAATATTCCGAACTTTGGTTTTACGATCCCTCTTTCTCTTCTGTAATACCAGCTGCTTCGTTCAGAGCATCGGGATCTGTGTGAAATTATTGAAAATTCACATAATCGTCCACGAGTGTAAAATAATCAATTAGCAATTGATCGTCACCTGAACAAGGGGAACCTTTTATCCTACAGGTATTGTAGCTACCACAGTTTAAGCACTTCAATCCGACGATGTGAAACTTTACCGTAGATTCCTGAAATAACAGGTATCTTGCCATTAATATCTCTTAATTATTTTCCACGCCTCAGCATTTGGGATATATGTATGAAGAAGTAGATTTGACCTCGTGGCAGTCTTTACATAAGATATCGGTTTTACAGTCGTTATATTCCTCCGGCATTGGTGTCAGCGACACTTCCGCGTCCAGATATTTCCACAAATCTGTCATGTCTAAGAGTGACACTTGACAGGACGGGCAAGCGTAATGTCCCGAGTTCAATAATTCCTCAAAACACATACGGTGAAGCAGGTGTCCACAATCGGGAATGTGACATGGTATGCGACTCGTGTGAATGTCTTCCAAACACACGGGACAATTGGAATGCGATACATTTTCTATGCACTGCAAAACAAAATTTATTTAACGTTTATATAATAATTGCAAACTGCATATAATATGAATAATAGCGTTCAATTATTAGTATTCTACGTATTTTGAATAGAATATATACAACACTTTTATCACGCAAACATGCATTTTTGCGTTATATGTTCTTACTGTATGCCCGTTTTGTAACTGGATGGGCAAGCACATGTTGCATTTAGCACAATGAAAAAATTTGTCACGACCACCGACTCTACATATTCCGCATCCGTCACAATGGTACTGATTCTTATCCTCGTCATCAAAAAGATTGCATTCTAAGCATGTGTATTTGCCAAATTGACAATGACAATTCTGACAAGTAGCTTGAACAGGTTGACGAGTATCGCAAAGAACACATATTAATTCTGTAACTTCTTTCCTATTCACTGTGTGTGCCTCTTGCTCGTCGTGACAAAACCGACAGGTATATACCTTATTGCAGCATGGAGTCTGTAATAGATTAAATATAGAAAGAAAACCAATTCATTAAGAAACAAAATATACATTTTTTATTATTATTACATTCATTATTTATATAAAAACTTATATATATTAGGTGTTGGAATTAATTCGTAGCGTTTTACAAGTGATGGGAAGTACTTTCATTAATGTATTTTTTAATGCTCATGTGAAATAAATAACATTCTTTCATTAAAAAACGCTACGAATTAATTCCAACACCTAATATATATATAAAAGGCAATAAAAAGATAAGATTCTCAAGATTAGTCGTTAATAGTCATAAATCAAAATAGATATTACTCGACATTTAAATTCTATTTAAATGGCATTTAAATTAGAATATTCTTTTCTTAAAAAACTATAATAAAGTGCTTTATATCCTATTTTACAATAAAAACCAATTTTAGACTTTTTAATAGCAAATTCGGTCACTTGCATTACATTAGATTAATGCACTAAAGAAGGTTGTTAAATTAGTTATAATATAAAAGTTATAATATAAAAGTATATATAAATATTTTAAACGAATTTTCAATAATGATATTGATTACATTATTTAACATGTATATATACATGTATTATTTCATTGCAAAATTGATTATTATTATGCCACTATATTTAGATACTTTATATAGAGCAGCCTTTTTAATATATACTAATCTAGTATAATGCAAGTGATACAAATTCACCATAAGACTATTTCTTGAACATTTATCAAGCTAAATTATTAGATTTTTCGCAAAATTAGATATAAAGAGCATGTAAATATTTTAAACAATTAGACATCCAATAATGATATTATTACATTAGCAGAATATACATGTATTATGTTTTATTGTCAAAGTTGATTATATTATAACACAGCATTTAGATATTTTATATAAAGTGCCTTTTTTAAAGGTGTACTAATCCAGGATAATGTGAGTAAAATTCAATTATAAAACTATTTCTTTAATATTTAACAAGAGCTAAATTATTAGATTTTATAAATAAACACCTGATAATCCACTTGAAGATGTCACAAAACATTAGATTATCCTCGAACTTACCACGAATTTGGATTTTCGCTTGTAGTGTTCGCAGCCGTAATTATTGTTTGAAACGGCCAGTGTCTCCTTCCCCGAGGTGGATGGGAGATACATGGTCCAAACACAGTCTCCCTTCTTCGATACGGACTTCCGCGTATCCTTGCGATCCCTATCATCGCGATCCGCGCTGGTAACATCAACAGCTTGTTCGGTGTCGCAATTCGGATCTTCGTCGTCGACGGTAGGTTCCGCGACGATACCCTCGCCACGATTCGGATCGTCACTCTCGCGATCCGCGGAGGTTTCCTCAACGCCGTCGTGACTCGTCGCCTCATCGTCGCGATCTCCGACGGTTTCCTCGGTGGCGCCGTCGCTATTCGACGCCTCGTCGTCGCGATCCGTGGCGGTGTGCGTCTTCTCGATGTCGTTGTTCTGCATACCGACGTGCCTGATTCTGCTACCCTTTCCTATCGTTCGGTCTCATCGACTCAAGACGCGACTTTTCCGTCGATTAACGCCGGTGCATCTCGCACCTCTCGTTCTTATCGTTGTCGTCTTCGTTCTTGTTCTTTTTGTCGATCAACTCAAATCACACGAGAATCAACGAGAATACCGTGTACACTGCGTCCCTCGGAGAACACGCGACGAGAATATTCGGAGCAATTCGGCTCGACTCGACTTTAGGGCCAGTTAAAGGTCGGCGCGCGGGAAGCGTCGGAAAGATTCTGAGAAAACGAGGTCGATCCGCGACGCTTCGTTGCGAGTCGCGAGGAATGATTTCAATGATCCATAGACAGCAAACTTGCACTTATCACACTCCATGCACACATACAGAGTGCAGCTTTGCTGGCTGGCGTTTGTTCACGTTTGCTCACACTACTATTGCAACATCTCACGAAACGGACGACACGGCAACGTCAGTCAATGGTCAATTCCAGAGACCATGAGACCACCAATCCTCGCTCGTACATGTATTGTATGACGTCCAACGACGTCGTGTGACTTTGCGCGTCTAAGTACAACTCGTGCGTCGTGATTAACTGATTATTGAATTAATATTATTTTCCCGGGAAATTAAAATCGCCGGGAAAGAACCTCTACCTTTCCCGGTGATTTTTCTTGAATTTTTTTAAATAACAAAAAGTATGAAAAAGAGATAGAATATTAAATTATTATTTACATTATTACATTGGAAAAGTATTATTTAAATGTATAATTTATAAAAACATTTTATTTAAAATTATATTAACGAAAGAATATAATAGAATCCATATAGATTGTATCAATCGATTATTTAACACAAAACTTAATAAATTTGTATGAATTTATTAATAACGGCTTTTTTTTGTCTGCACTCTTTTTTTTCTTGTTAATCGGAGTGTCACGCAACTGCGAGACATGATGCACAAATAAATAAAATTTGTATCTGGAAATATTCGATAGCAATTGAGTCTGCAGAGTGCAGACACTGACAGTCACACAAGTCTTATGTATTGTAGCTGTGATTTTTTTATAGAATGCTTTATTCGAGAGAAAACAATTGTATTTCGTTTAGAAATTTAATTTAAAGGGAGAAATAGAAAGTTTGAAGCAAAAAGATAAGCACAATAAGACAGTTAAAAGGAGCGATCTCCTATTTTGCACGTGTTTCTGCCTGTTAAACATAACCTTAATTATTATCTCTAAAGCGCCTTTTTAAAAACCTAATAAAAATTAATTATTTTATCATTGTTTCAGTTATTTTTTCAGTAATACTTCTGTAAGACGCATTAAATAAATCATTATTCTACAGATGATTGATTTAGCACGAGTTTATTTTATTTCAAAGTTGTTTCTTATTTTATATAATAATAATAAATATTTATGTATAAATTACGTGTATGCATTTGTATAATAAAATACTGTAAAGTTCTATTTGTTAATCATCTAATATTGTGCTAATTGCTAGATATTGTATTAAGATTATTTATCGGAGTTATTGGACTATTGAAATGACAGTAATACTAGGAGGTGGCATATCAGGGCTATCAGCAGCATATTATGCTGTTAACGATGCAAGACTTTCGTCTATCATTTTACTGGAGGCTTCTAGTCGCTTGGGTGGGTGGATACGTAGCAGAAACTCACCAAGTGGAGCGATTTTCGAGCAAGGACCAAGAACTGTCAGAACATTGGGTTTACCTGGAAAAAACACCCTCAATTTGTTAGAGGATTTGCAATTAAATGACAAATTAATTCATGCCGATCTGAATCATTCTGTGGCAAAAAATCGATTGATTTACAAGGATGAGGCATTGCATGTTCTACCAAATACCTTAAAAGGTATCTTCAAGACAGTCTCGTTGCTAGATCGTCCCTTGATAAACCGCATATGGACGGATTTGAGGGCTCCTAAAGTATCTAAGGAGGACGAAAGCATTCACAGTTTCGTTCAAAGGAGATTGGGCCAGGATATTGCGGATAACTTTATCAGCCCTATAATCTGTGGGATCTGTGCAGGAGATGCACGTGAGATAAGCGTTAATTTTCTACTTGAATCACTGTTCGAGGCGGAACAGAAACATGGCTCTATTGTGAAAGGCTTAGTAGTAAAACAATTGGAAAAGTTTTTTTCAAAATCGAAAGACAAGGATAATACAGCGAAGGATAACGTGGACAAAAAGCTTGTAGCAACATCATCAACCTTGGCGAAGAGAGCGCAAAACGAACATTGGATAATGTGGGGCTTGCAAGGAGGACTCGAGCAATTACCTTTGGCACTAGCCGATTATGTAAAGAGTCGAGGAGTGATGGTACAGACTGAGAAAAAGTGTGAAAAACTTACATTTAAATCAGATCGCATAGAACTATCGGTTAATGGCGATCTTCAGGAATGCTCACGCGTTATTTCGAGCTTATGCGCAAAGGACTTGGCTGAGCTGTTGCAAGAACAGCATCCTAGACTGTCGGCGGAATTGAAAGCAATACCTACTGTGACGGTCGGAGTAGTTAATCTTGAATTCCAGGGAGATGTATTACCTTTGCAAGCATTCGGCTTCCTCATTCCGCCAAAAGAAAATCTGCCTCTGCTAGGTGTAATCTTTGACTCCTGCGTATTCCCTGGATCTTCCACAGTATGCATATCTCAAAACAATTTTACTGTTTGCTCATTTCTATGGCTGTTAATTTTTTAGTTAATTCACTCACAGTACGATTCAATCTTCATTTCTAATATAACTTTTATTTTTATGTATACAACACTGTAAGAATTATAAATTATGCAACATGTAAAAAAAATATTTTTCAATGATAATAAATTAATGTATAAAATATGACTATGATTTAGGTATTGACGGTGATGATGGGAGGTGCGTGGTTCGAGAAATATTTCGGATCAAATCCATCGAAAGAACAATTGTTAACGACGGCGATTAATCACACCAAGAATATCTTACAAATCGAAGAGGAACCAATCGCATATAATGTTGCCGTTCTCAAGGATTGTATTCCGCAGCACGTTGTGGGTCATAATGCCCGTGTAAAACGCATCCACGATTATATTTCCGCGCACCATATTCCCCTGGCACTGTGCGGTTCTTCTTATCAAGGTGTGGGAATCAATGATGTTATTCTGTCAGCAAAACAGGCCGTTCGTGATGTTGTAAAATAATTGCAGAATCGCTTGTTTCGAAAATAGTAGGTAACTAATAACGGCACATATACAAAATAAATAAAGAAAAACTACATGCAAACGCTGTACATGCTGAATCATACCAAACCATGCAAAAAAAATCATATTACAAAGTTAAAATATAATCTTTGGCTGAAATATAATCCATAATTTAAATGATAATAATAGTGTAATAATAAATAACTATTTTGTTGTACAAAAATGAAAATACGATACGAAAATATATTTTACGAAGAGTTGTATTTGTATTAAATGTACAATGTATGTTATTCTGCGAAATATAACGTAACTTTATTAAAAGTATTAATGTACAAATAAAGTATATGTATAAAATTTTCCAAAGAGCTAACAAAAAAAATTTATTTTGCTGTTGTATGATATAAAAAAGATATTTCTCGAAAATGATATTTTCTCCTTTCATTATGCTCTTATCAATTAATATATTTTGCAGTCGTGTAAAATTATTTTAATATTTTATTATTTATTTATTGAAAAATTTACTCTATCTATTTTTTTTTGTATAGCTACATAGTTTATATTTAGAAACATAAAAAAATTTGGCTATTTATCTGTAACAAAAGATAGTAATAAAGTATCTGCCTGCAAACAATTATATAATGTTATTGCAAACTAAAGCGACGTTATCCCAGCAATAAATGTAATTAATCAAAAACAATTGTTTTACTTGAGATGTATATGCGGAACAATTATGTAACCAAACAGACTTATTAATACTACTTGCAAATTGAACATGCTGATTTGAAAGATTCTCTTAATTAAACAAATGATTCAAGTAGATTAATACAAACTTATACGCATTCAAATTTTACATTCGTTGATGGATATAACATTACAATCGTATGTTTAATCTTTGACAGTACCTGCATATTTAACCTCGTCAAAAGCCTTTCTTGCTTTCTTAAGTTCCTCGTTCATTGTTAAAAGATCTTTTACTCTGGCATATTTCCTGGAATCCTTTCTTACTGCAAATATAAACAAATTAATAAATTATAAATTGGAAAAAAATAATATATTAAAAATATCTTTTCTATAAGAAACAAAAAGCTTAGAATTTACATATTTATTTAAATATTTAGGTACTTAATCCTTTTATAATAAGGTGCATTCTCAAGATATCCAAAAAAGTCAGATTGAATCCAATCTTAGATTCGATTTTGTTCATATTTTATCTAATCAATATAACAAAATAGATAAAAAGAAGTTAATATATATATATCATGAAACTTTTCTTTGTTAAACAATACATGGATTCTGTAAAATAGATAAAGCTGGGGATTGCATCTAACCCTCCTTACTACTATAAAGATTAAGAATATTTTTTAATCTGAATTAAATATAAAATTCTCTTACCTAAAAATACAATATCTTCTACTTGAACTCGTCCTGTGCGTCCAATCTCCATGGCTCGATGTGTCATCTCTGTTATGAATTCGATAACCAAATCCTCCAACAGATCAACGCTTTCTGTATAAGGATTCTGATCGTCGCCGAAGCCATACATCATGCAGCGCAGTTCTTTGGAGAAGAGCCGTTTTCTTCCTCCAGGCAGAGTCCCGCCGATTGGAATTTCTGCCTCTTCATCCTCAAACTGTCAACATAGCCAAGTATAAGTATATAGCAAGAAAAATGATGGTAATAAATAATTGATTTATAAGAACTTATTGTATTGTATAAAATTATAAAGTTCCCTGAATGAACTTTTTTTTAGAAAAATATATTTATAATATATTCTTTTAATTAATCATCTACAATTATATTTAGAAAAACATATAATGTATTAATTAAAGTATCAGTGTTTTCACAGGAAATTCACAATGCATTCGGTTCTATTTATACTACAAATTTGTAATGTATATAATATTATTTATGTTCATAAATATAATAATGGAACTTAAATTTATGTAAGAAAAATAATAAAAGTAAACACCTGTTCAAAATTTTCTTCTGCAGACATCGTTTTGTAGGTTATTTAAGTTCAAAATCTTCCAACAGTTTTAGTTACTTGTTCTTTGTAGTTCTCTTTTATCATAGCCAATCACATAATTATTTTTAATGTTTCCTTAAATATATAAATCAATATTATTCTATCAATCGATTTCACGATATTAGAAACCTAAAAGAGGATAACCTAGGAAACCAAAGAGAGCCTTTTCCTGTAAACGCAAAATGTTCCCACGCACTACTGGCCTCTGAAGAAGCGGATGTAAACTACATAACCATTTTTTTCAGTGCTTCTGATGGAAATAAATAGCTGAAATCATTGAAATTTCTATTATAGCAAATTCGGCAGATTGCAGTAGTGCGATTTATTTCCATCAGGAGCACCGCAAAAAAGTGGATATTGCTGTAAATTGTATATTTAAATTCACAATGCAAGATATACAATGCGATTTGATGAAATGAGATTTGAATTCTAAGTACTATGTATATGTGTTAAAAATATGATACTAATTGAAATAAAACAATGATTTGTAATTCCTGTATTCTATATATACAATGAGAGCAAAAAGTATACAAGGAAATTTTTTATAAAAAAAAATCTTATTTATAGAAAATAAACATTAATTAACAATTTTACACAATAAATTCATTATGTTTTAACAAATAAGTTTCGCATGTATTCCTGATTTTAGAAATTACATTTTTCGACTGTACGAATACTTTTAAGCATCCAAACAATTAATTTTTAATTTTTACTTATTTTTCGGATGATATAATTAATACACATCTTTTTGGTATATGTAATTTTAAGAAATATACAATTTTTATTCTTTACGAATAAATTGTTAATTACCCAACAAGAAATTTCAATTAAACATTGTCAATTAAACATTGAAACAAATGTCAAATTGGTATCGAAATCATCGTATCGATGATAATAAATCTAAGAAATAAAGCAAAAACCGTGCAATAAAGACTATCTACCAGAGAATATTAATACTTTTCGCCAAAGCTGTATTAATTTAGTACAAATTGTTTCGCAATATTAAGAAAATTTGCATGTATCTTATATAAATTTATATATAGAATATTATCAATCTTTATTTAAATATGAGAGAAACGTTGAAAAGAATAATGAAATTGAAACATAATGTTGGAATATCAAAAATATTTCCCATGCGAATAATTATTAATTACGTTTAAAAGAATCATGTAAGTAAAATATGATTGAACAAGAAATGTGCCAGAGATGTCACAAAGTAAAGCGCGAAATGTACGATGATATCCGTTTGTCAAAATGTAAAATACGAATAATTAGATCGTGAATATTTTTTATACGCAATAGCGTATCTAAATAGCGCGGCAAAAAGAGAGGGGGAACGGCGCGGTGGTTGATTACGTTATCATATTTTAAAGAAAATATATAATTATTTTTATAAATATACTTGAATTAAAAATTCGATGTTTATAAAAATTGTATATTTTGAAAATTAATATGATTATATTCAAGAGAGATTATTTTCAAGATTAATATGATTATTTTCTTTGCATTTAATAAAAATTTTTTAAAATATTTATTTTTTTACTCTGTTTTAATTTAGATTTTATATTCTTTTTGTCACAGAATCATCGTAGCGACGTTGCTGATATAACTCCGGTGTTGCGCATCGGATGAGTGATAAATTAATATTTTTATTGGGGTAACGGATGTATGATAATTTTATTAATTACTACATATTTATAGATGCATACGCAGTAATTTACTAAATTATTAAAAATATACGAATAATTGTATGTATAACATTCTATACATCCGTTGCCTTAAAATTCGAATTTGAAACACAATCATAAACTGAAATAATAATCTCACAATTAAATGAATGCAATTAATTGCTTAATAATCAAACAATAATGCTCATTAGCATCCTAAATAACTTACGAATATATCACCTTGGATGGGATACGAATCCGGAACTCTTGAATTCTATACGGCGACTGATTCTTTCTCTCGATCAGTGAGACATGTGTAGATGAATAATCAAACCCAGCTAAGATGATATTTTTTGTAAACTAAACTGCTATATAAATAAATAAAGAAGCTATATGAATAAATCAAATAAATAAAGAAAAGCCAGATAATGTCAAGATTAGATCTTATAATTATGCCCGTATTTATAGTCAGACTCGATCAAAAATTTTTCATGCATGAATATGTATAAATATGTGACATTAATTTTTTGGCGGTACACCTGATAGAAATAAATCGCTGGATTCGCTGAAACAACTAAAATCTATCAAATTAATAAAGATTCAGATTTCTCTTTCCCTGCATTTATAATCAGATCTTATGTTTAAGATAGTACAAGATAAATACAACCTTAAGATGTCATGAACCGATCAGAAAGCCGTATTAATATCTTAGGACATTACTTAAAATGGTCTTAAAATAAGAATCGACTATGAATATTGGCTTTAAAGTCTATTGCACACCAGATACGACGAGAGATAAGCGACGAGGGATGAGTATTTATTAAAACCTCTGCTTTATATTGTGCAAAAAAACAGGGCTTTCATGATTCAATGCTGACATGTAATATAAGAAATTTATTTGTTGATACCTTTAAATATCTAATTTTAATTGTATTGTTGAAATTTAAAAGTAACACAAATATAGAGGGAAATTCTTAAAACATGGCAAGTCAATCAATGCGCTACTTTATCATATTGCAATTTGCAATTTTTGAATAAAGTTGGAATTCTTTTAATAAGCAAACTATATTTAATTTAAAGTTGTAAAGAAAATTTAAATGAATAAAAAAAAATCAATCTGTAGAGGCCTTCCATCTGTCAATTTTTAACGGCGATCCTTTTTTTCTCAGTAAATACCAAGTTACATATAACAATTAATAAAACTGTAGTATAACATAATATATTACAGTTATATTCTTGGCAAATTATAACTAATTGTAAAAGGTACGTTACGTGTAACTTAAAGTTTGCCGGCTTTGAATATCTTTATGTTATTACATATGAATTTAATACTTTCATACAATGTATTTAATTGATACCAAAATGAAAAGAAAATAAAAAAAGAATTATAATATACAAAGTAATCAGATACAATATAATAAAATATAATACAACACAAAAAATAGACTCAAATCTTTGTAATATAAAATATAAAATACAAAAATTGCTTATAAATTTTTACAACATTCTTGCTTATTATGTATACGATACCTCGTATACGAAATGCATGCTTATTATAACACAAAATTTGCGTATATTTTAAGAAAATCCGAATTCTGGTTCTGCAATAACAATTTCTACGTTTATTTAATAAATCTTTTGATGATACAATATTTATTAATTAAATGAAAATTTCAATTTCGCATCTCCTACTGTGGAAATAAAAGTTGTTGAATTTTAAGAAACTCAAAATTGAATATTCAAACAAATTAATTTAGTGAATTGAGTCAATTTTTGTTAATAAATGTTATTAAATAATATGCGCTTGCATAAAAATGAAATTACGAAATTACATTTTTTAAATTTGATTTTAAGCTCATTTTTACCAAACAAAATTATTAGTATGTAACTCCCTATTATATTTCAAAGTCTTTATAATTACTAGCAATTATTGAGACTTTAAATACACTTTAAACTTTTCCAATCATATATCATTAATTTAAGGTTTAATTTAGCAAAAATGAGCTAGAGATTCTCCACCACCCCCGCAGATTTTATCGGCGGTCCTCTTTTCTTTGTTAGTATTACCCGTAAAAAAATGGGTTACTAATAAATTTAGTGGCCAGTTTTTTAAGGTAAATATATTTTTAATTAATTTTTTATTTGTATATCTAATTACTTTACTGTATTTTGGTAATGATATTACCAAAAAATACAGTAAAGTATTAATTTTTTTGATATTATCTTTTATTGAAAAATCCTTTATACAATTCAATAACAATTATTTACAATACAATATACAATCATAAGTACTGTTCAAAATATAATAAAAATAATATTATAGGAGCATGACTAACAAATTTTAGTAATGCAGGATTATATGAAAACATCGAAAATACATATGAAAACATAAATTTTCCTAAACAAATGTTTAATGAAATATCAACAATAATTAAATCGCATTTACTATTAATTATTAACTTCTCGAAAAAAATGTTTTATATAAAATTATGTATATTGTAATTTTATACAACCTTATATACAATTTTATATACAAATATATATAAATATACATAATTTTATACATATATAATTTTATTGGGTTGCAAAACGTATTAATATTGCAATAAAAAATCATTAATATACTTATGACAGCACTTTGATCGCGTTCAAGATAACTTATTCCAATAATGTATCAAGATCCCTGCTTTGTGATACGTCATAGTTAGCATCCGATAGAAAGAAGAACAATCTTCATAGTGGAGAATGAACTTTCTACGTCAAATTCACAATGTCCATTCGTAAAGAAAAATTAAACAGTTCGTTAAACCAGCGGTCTTGTTACAGAAAGGTAAGTATGAATCTTTCAGACTACTTACGATAGTAATAATTTTGCATGTCAATTACAATTATTATTTTTATCGTATCTTTAATATAATATTAAAATTCGCGAGAAAATATGTTCTGTCACACATTACTAAAAATCATTTCTTATTAAAAATAAACGGGTAGAATAATTTTCTTACGGAATAGCGGTTACGAAGGAATATATTTAATAATAATAAAATACATGCATTTTGTAATTCTTTATATGTGTGAGTACAAAAGTTTCTCGGGTACCAACTGTTCGAGATAAATCGATAATAGCGGGATTTTAAAGAACTTTTATACTGAAAAATTTATTGTGTAAAATTTAATTATTCTTATTTTTCTATATTTTCCAAAAATTTTAATTATTAATATCCCGCTAATATGAGGGTATCTATTCGACTTATCTCGAATTTTTTTGTAATTACACATTTTTAATTAAATTAACAAAAATAAAAAAATGTTAAATATAATCTCATAATATCTGCATGTATTTTATCATAGAAAAGTATGTATATGTAAAAATTAATAATTAATAATGTTCTAGAATGGCGGGATGTCCAATACCTAAAAATAATTTTAAAATAACAGTTAGAAAATTAAATATATACATTCGTAACCATATTTTTGTTAGAGGAATCATAAAAAATTGAGTAAATTATTTGT